ATATTAAAATGTGCACCTGGATACGTTTACCAATGGCCTTTACTCAAATTGTTTTTTTTTTAATTTGATGACATAAAAAGGTATCATCAAGTTTACATAATGGCCAATTAAATTTTCAGCCATGGGAACGTTAGGAAAACAAAACATGTCATATTTACTTAATTCTTATAGAGCAATTAAGTATTATGTATAAACAAGGTAAGATAATGATGTCGCATACTGTAATACGGAAAATGTGACTGAAATGTAAATTGTATATGTTTCGTATTAATACTCTAAAGAAATGTGTTTGTTTATATAAGTAGGAACATAATGTTATGACATCAGTGGAAGAAGGGATCCTTATCAACGAGTTAAAACTCTTGAAATATGTATCATGACAGTATGCATAAATCAACTTAGAAAGCCTATCTCCTATTTGATCAGCCACATTTTGTTTGCAAACTTTTAATCATATCATATTTGTATTGAACGTAACATTTAAAAGTATCACACTTCCAAATAAATAGATTTGATACAATTTATAATTAAGAGAGACGATAAAGAGTGTTTTTCATTATAGCGTCAGCCGAGCGATAATCAGATATATTGATCACTATATATGACATAATTTTGCAACAAACACAATAAGTCAATAGACATGATGTGGTAACACAATCAAAGATGACTTTAAATGTGTTTGAATTGCACACGATTATTCGCACATAATTACAGTTAAAATATTTTGATCCATATGCTTTCTTTCAAGTGTTGGTATTTTGATTAAACGAAACTATATGATAGACAAGTATAACTTGTAAATGTTTCAGCATATCATTTTAATGTTAAACATAACGTACAATATCGTTTTAGATTGTGACTTAGTTACGATATATTCAAAAACACTCTCACGATATATATCTGCTATTGATTGTAAATATTAGCTCTTATGTTGAGTGTTTAGAATCGTATCCTTCATCTTCAAATAAAACGACATGAAGACTGATATACATTTTATCTAAATATAACATAAGTTAATGATGCATGTCGGTAATTATAATTACATTTAAAAGACATCACACTTGGGCATTTTTGAAATATATCAATTATGCTGTATAGTATTACTTTATTTCAAACAAAACGCAATACCATTAAAATAGCTTGATCAGTTGTCATGTATATTATGTCATTGAAATGTGTGATAATAAACAAAGTCATTTAAGAGTCATCATTGTGATGCATGTAGTTTTTTTAAGTAAATTATCACATGTATATTATCTAATTTTAATAAATTTTGACCTTATACATACCTCCAGCCACTGAAAATAGACAAAATAAAGAATTTTATAAATAATTATCGAACTCTATTGATGGCTTTACCTCAAACACATCGATTATGGCATAAGGGAAGTATATGTAGTGGAGAGAATTACAATAAGCTTTGAGCTTCCAGTTTAATCCACTTTATCATGATTTTGTATAAATTTTGTTTGTGAATATTGTAACTTGATGAAAAACAAATAATGTTTTAAACCAAGGGAAGTGTATTCAATTTGTCTAAACAACGTATTAATTTTCAATCCGTTACCGTCAATGTTGTAATTTATTTAGCGCATCATAACATGTATTAATATTGCATAAGTAATTGAACACAATTATTTTGAGGAAATCTATACGGATAATAAACACCATGCATGTGATATAATTCACATACAGCTAATACTATTATACAATATAATTGTGATATGCATCGACATAATTCTACCCTTGGATTTGTTGTCACTGTAAACCTTTTTAAACGGAACTGAGCAAAACAATGCCATTCACGCAAAAAGTTCTGAATTACTTTAACACTATTCTATTTGCTTGAAAACGTTCCAGTGCTTTAATATATCATATTATAGCAAACGTATTAAGGTAATTTATATTACGTTTCTTTTGATCTTTTTCCTTAGATTTAATTCCTATTAGCATTGTTGCCCACATCATCTTGATATATAATGTTGTTATTAATGTATATACACGTTATGAGCGACACTACTTGTTTAATAATGTTGGGACAACTTAAATATGTGCTAGTTAGCGTGAGAGACGTCGGTCAGTTAAAGCAGGTATAGAACAACGGAGAAAATGAATGCATTACAGCATTAAACTACATGAGCACTCACTGATGTTTTTGTTTTTTGTTTTAATAGGTGCGTCACGTGGCACCGTGTTTACATATGTGGCTCAAATAATGATTCATAATCAAATTAAAATTATCAAATGACATGGTACTCGCACGAGAAAAGTATGTAACTTTTTGTATACGAAAAGTAGCTAAATGCGTATTTTCAGAGCCAGAGTTCCATTTTTATGCAATAACCGCGCTTTTATTCGTGGAATTACAACTGTAGAAACAATCGGACTTTAAATACCCGCCTAGCAAGCTTGCGCTTTAAAAGCATGTATGTGTCCGATATTTACGAAAGAAGATAGGTTGATAATTTTGGTACTAATTACAAAAATATTGATGAAATAAAATGCGTGTAATTTTTCCCCTTTATTTTAACAATAAAAACAAGAGGGCCATGATGACCCTGAGGTCGCTCACCTGTATATAGGCCTCTGGAGCGGGGTAAGTTTAAACCCCAGGGCTTTTATTTGAACAAACTTGGAAGACAGCCATTAGAAGATGTTTCATGATGTTAAGTTTTTACTACACACATATAATGAAAAACAATGACCTCCCCCACCCCCCGACATCCTCCCCCCCGGCAGGGCCAATTTTAATCCACAGGCTTTTATTTGAACAAACTTAGTAGACACCCATAAGAAAATGTTTCATGCTGAACATCTAAGCTCTAGCTCATTCGGTTTTTTAAAAGAAGATTTTTTAAAGTTTTTACTATACACATATAGTTAAATACAATGACACCCCTGGGGCGAGACCAGTTTTGACCCCAGGGCTTTTATTTGAACAAACTTTGAAGACACTTACTAGAAGAAGTTTCATGCTTTATATCTAAACTCTAGCTATTTGGGTTTTTCAAAGAAGATTTTTTAGTTTTTGCTATACACATATAAGGAAAATCAATGACCCCCTGGGGCGGGGCCAATTTTGACCCCAGGTCTTTTATTTGAACAAACTTTGTAGACACTCACTAGAAGATGTTTCATGCTTAATATCTAAACTCTAGCTATTTGGGTTTTTTCAAAGAAGATTTTTTAAGTTTTTACTATACACATATAAGGAAAATCAATGACCCCCTTGGGCGGGGCCAATTTTGACCCCAGGGCTTTTATTTGAACAAACTTGGTAGACACCTATTAGAACATGTTTGATGCTAAATATCTTAGCTCTAGCTCTTTGAGTTCTTAAAAGAAAGATTTTTTAAGTTTTTACTATATGCATATAGGGAAAATCAATGACCCCCTGGGGCGGGGCCAATTTTGACCCCAGGGCTTTTATTTGAACAAACTTGGTAGACACCCATAAGAAGATGTTTCATGCTAAACATCTAAGCTCTAGCTCATTGGGCTTTTTAAAAGAGGATTTTTTTAAGTTTTTACTATACACAAATAGTTAAAAACAATGACACCCCTGGGGCGGGGCCAGTTTTGACCCCAGGGATTTTATTTGAACAAACTTTGTAGACACTTACTAGAAGATGTTACATGCTTAATATCTAAACTCTAGCTATTTGGGTTTTTTCAAAGAAGATTTTAAGTTTTTGCTATACACATAGAAGGAAAATCAATGACCCCCGGGGCGGGGCCAATTTTGACCTCAGGTCTTTTATTTGAACAAACTTGGTAGACACCTATTAGAACATGTTTGATGCTAAATATCTTAGCTCTAGCTCTTTGAGTTATTTAAAAGAAGATTTTTTAAGTTTTTACTATATGCATATAGGGAAAATCAATGACCCCCTGGGGCGGGGCCAATTTTGACCCCAGGGCTTTTATTTGAACAAACTTGGTAGACACTCATTAGAACATGTTTCATGCTAAATATCTTAGCTCTAGCTCTTTGGGTTCTTTAAAAGAAGATTTTTTAAGTTTTTACTATATGCATAAAGGGAAAATCAATGACCCCCTGGGGCGGGGCCAATTTTGACCCCAGGGCTTTTATTTGAACAAACTTGGTAGACACTTACTAGAAGATGTTTCATGCCAAATATCTAAGCTCTAGCTCTTAGGGTTTTTTAAAAGAAGATATTTAAAGTTTTTTCTTTCGGTTGCCATGGCAACCAGAGTTCTGCATGGAATTAAATTCTTTGAACAATTTTTAAAGGTGACCACCAAAGGAACATTCCTGTGAAGTTTGGATGAAATTGGCCTAGTGGTTTATGAGGAGATGTCATTTAAAGTAAAAGTTTACGGACGACGGACGGACGACGGACGACGGACGGACGCCGGACGAAAAGCGATCACAAAAGCTCACCCTGTCACTTTGTGACAGGTTAGCTAAAAACAGATGTTGCAGAGTATTATATGTTTCGTATTTTCACTGATGTCTAGCAGTGCAATTTTGTTCAGAATCCAGCCAAAACACATACTTCATTGGTAAGTCTTTTGGATCGCAATGTCAAAAGGTATGTGATAAATATAATATAACAGAGAGGCAAGGTTGTTTTTTTTTTATATAAAAAAAACAACAACAAAACAACAACAACAAAGTTCTGCTACTTAGCTCTTAATGGGACTAACGTATACGAACGGGATACACACGTTTAATAAATAACTTATTACAATTTGATCGAAATACTTAGGCAATTTGAAAACTGGTTTTGCAAAGTTTGAAACGTTTTGTCGCATGTTTTAAGTAATCGATTAAAGAAACGGTACTTTCAATATGATAAGATTAACATTGAATAATGTTTAATGTCACACTGTTCTGACATATCATACCGTATTGATAATGTCACTTTAACACGGGATTGCATTTTTTATGATAAAATTACAAGATAAATATTCTGTTTAAATTTTAATTATAAAGCAAATCATTAGAAACGAGCAACGCTAAAAATACTAAATACTTACAAAACAACTTCGCACTTGATTCGGTCGCCGACTTTCCATGCATCACCAGATTTTTCACCGGGTTTGCTTTCTGTATACACCCTTAAAATATATTATAATTGACATGTTTAAATAAACGAATATGGTATTTATAGTCCTGTTAATCAATTTCATAGAAAGGAGAACACAGCTATATTAGACTCTTAACTCTAAGCAATGCTTAATGGGAGGAAGGTTTTTGTCCATAATATTTTACATTGTTACTGATTTAAAATACATTGTTGTTAGTAGTTAGTTCACAGTTATATATTTGTCAATTAAGCTCATGAGTGTGTGTAAATAAGAGAATTGTCTAGTTAATAAACAAATAACGCTATCCATAGTGAATAAATTGTGACAAACTACAATCAGATTATGTTAATACTTTGATCATGATTGAACATTATTTGAAATCCAAGTAAAAGTTATATGTATGCGAATAGAGTTTCAACAATTTTGTAATAACTGTGATATTCGTTTTTGCTCAATTACATACACATTTGACCGTGGATAAATATTCTATTAATTCCACGGGTTGTGTATGCTTTTGTTATTAACGATACCATAACACAATTTACATGGTTTTGATAAATAAACCAGTTTGACACGATAGGCATACTGTGGCGTTAAAATTACATAACTAAAGAAAACACATCCTTAATGAAGACATTAACATCGTATGACACCTACTAAAATGCAACAAACATACACAATGCAAGCACCTGGTGTAAAATAATCTAACATGCGAACATTCTTTCCATCTTTATGAGTGGATATTAAAGTAAACCGTTACGTGTATGCAATATTTATCTTGAATTCCATTGAGGTCCAAAAACCTAGAGACATGATATCCACAATTCTTACAAGGATCAGTTTAGACACATTATACAGAAAGATAAGGATCTGTTTGGACACTTTATACAGAAAGATATGCAAAATAATTTAGAAATATTTTAAAAAATAAATTGGAATCGTATTTCTTAGAAAGTTTAAGCTCGATTTGAGTTAGAAGCGTTGCAACGCATTTCGGTTAGGGCCATTTTTATAATACGAATTATTATTCTGGAAAACTGAGTGAGCAAATTATCTACAAGTTTGCACACAAGTCATTGCTCTAAACATACATCAAAGAGAAACCTTATTTTCGACCAACCATGTCATATTTGAATTCCTTTAGTATCACTTATCATTTTAAGGCTCCCGTTTATAAAATTGCAAACGCATAGTTTCTTTCTCGTGTTTCAGCCTTGTTTTCCGTTATTTATATGCAAATTTATGCAATTCATAATTTACATGGTACAGTTTGCTTTTAATATACTATATTAAACGTTTACTGAGATATCCATTGACAAATTAAACACGAAACTGTTTTTAAACGATGGTTTATTATCTTAAAACAAAATGCACAACCAAAATCATGTTCATATTCAGTAATAGACACAAATTAACATTTCTATTAGATAGACAGTTATCATTTATCAAGATGTGCTAAATTATAAATTTAAATGTTTCTTAACACATTAAACGTGCCTGTTCATTTCGCATTGTTTAAGTAGAAAAATAATGCAATTCGATTATTTTCAATATAACGTACTGATATTTGACGGTATTTGACGACTATTAGATTGATTAAAATATGCTGTGAAACTAACGTAAACTTAAGAAAAGTGATATACTTAAACATAATTGTGGTCGTATTGTTCATTTGTATGAGCATATCAGACACTTACCTTGTTTTATTTCAGCCAATAATTATCGCGAAAAAATGTTTAAGATAACAAATAAAATTTATATAAATTATATGCATGTATGAAATATCCACATTATGTTATAAATATTCAGCAAAGGACTTAAGATTTATTTTCTACATGAAATAACTATAGACCCGGACTAAATCTTTTCTGATTTTGATTTACATATGCTTGAATTTTTAGAGAGGTATTGCCCGGTTGTTCCTTCTTGAGCCAACGTTCCTGCAGTTAAATTGTACTACAATTGTCCTGTTGTAGTGACATACATTTTTGAAAGAATATTTAGCGTGTAAATTGTAACATTCAATTCTTGTCGCTTTCTAAATGTTATCAATTTTCATAAATAAAGATTAATCTTTAATATAAGATATTCGAATATAATCTAACGATCGTCAATTCGTGAAATTTATTTTACCACTGCCGGTTCAATAAAATTGAATCATAATATTATTTATAAAATGATACATGTTTGCCCTTTTAACTTCTATTAAGAATGCTGATAAAATATCATTATGGTTACAAGCAACAAACAAAATGAACGTAATTATGAATTATTTTACCTGCAGAGTGCAAAATGAAACGCTTCTACTTATTATTTTAAGTGCCGATGTTCGTTATGATTATCATTTATAATTCATCAAACCAGTAAACTTATATATAGTCTTTACAAAGATTTGTACCTTATTAAGTTTATAATTCACCGATGTAAAAACTTGTATGCAGCTTTTATTGAGTTTAAAGAAGGATTTGATTGTTATTACTATTGATAACTGATAAAACATAATTTTTTATTACAGTTAAAATGTTGAAGATGACATTGAATGTCCTTTCACCATAGGGTATACGAAGGATAATCCAAAACAAAGCTATTATTTTTTTTACTAACATGGGCAGTCTAAATTGTGTAAACCATACATTAAAGAAAAAACAAAAACAGCAGAACATAAAATTAATAAAACAAGAAAGAAATATAATATATTGAGTACAAATTGCAAGCGCCCTTTACGATTCTAGAACAATTATAGTACACATATGCGTCACATGCAGATTTTGCTATACTTGTTAAGAAACATACATCACATTTCAAGAAAACAATGGGAGAAACACAAAATGAAGCCACATCAGTTTAGTCTACTGATACTTTTACAGGAAAGTTTGACGTTATATGAATGATACAATTTAATAACAACAATATTCAAAGTGCGGTGTTACCATTGTTTGTAGCTTGGGAATGTCGTTAACAGACAAACGAGAAATCCGTAAAAGGTTTAGTTCTGTCATTATGATGTACAAGTATAACAATTTACCGTTAAGATCATTGATAAAATTAAAATGAAAAAGATGGTGAACAAATAAACATACCGATTTTCTGACGACAAGGGACAGATAAGGGCATAAGGTCGTGTAAGAAAGACTAAATAGGACGTAACAAAAGTGACAAAAGTTGACGATCACAGATCTGACTGAGCGTTAAGGCATCATAGAACGGATATCGTTAAGCTAATTGAAAAATAAATGTCATTGAGGGTAATTCTGCTTAATCGATTAATTCGTATATGTCTTTGATAACATAATATTTAGTAACTGTATTCCTAGATTTCGCGCGTTTTAAGTTGGCGCTTTTCGCGGTAAGCATGATTCTGCGAATCTTTATAGCCGCGAATATGTCACTTATAACAAATCCGCGAGCATTTCTAGCTTCAACCAATTAAAAACATAAACGTGCTGAATATATATTTTAATCTACTTACACAACAAAGATAAAAAACAGGTGCTATAGAAATGTGTAAAAATGTAAAGTTTATCTCACTTTAGGTTTTAGCTTGTAATCAATATTTACATTTCGGATGAAAAGTACACTATGTAACACCGATAAGTGACACAAGAAATCTGTGACGTCACACACTACATTCAGTCACATAGCTTGCAGATCCAAACGGGGGTTTAATATGCAATGAAAAAATACAATAAAAATGATCAATTATTTGTAATTGTCATGCTTATTGACATAAATCACGGAGTATACAAACACATTTACAGTTTGTGTACATTGAATGTCTTGGATTATATTTGCTTGGAGTAGGTGTAAATCTTTGTTAAAAGTGCAACATTTAGCGATCAAGTGCTACAGTGCTAAACAGATGTGATGTTGTTGTTGTTTGTTTGTTTGTTTCATTTTACGCCATTTTCCAACAGTATTTCAGTCATATAGACGGGTAGTTTCCTTACCATCGTTTCTTGATAGTTACACCAGTACTAGACTACCATCCTCCGCGCTTAACTACCAACGCATTTCCCGGGGATCGAACCCACACCAGAGAGGTAACTGGATTAGAAGTCATCGACTCTAACCCCTCGGCCACGGAGGCGGTTGATGTGTTGTTTTTATAATAAAAGCGATGTACAGTCCGATACCGTTACACTAGCACGACATAACCGTTTTGTAAGCCAGACGTCATGAATTGTTGAATCATTAATGCACCAAAACATAGCCTTCAAACAACAGTTATTTAGGCCGTAGCGACTTGGAATTCGTGGTTACTACAAATCCGCGAAAGTTTGTCTCCGCGAAAATGCCAACGTTGAGAAAAACGGGAAATATTGTATCCGCGATCATTTCGAGGAATAAAGTATATCAAAACTACGTAAAGAGTGTACAGTGTGTTGAAAAACATTCATTGTGGATATTCATTGAATGAAATTTAAATGTGTGCACGCTTTCAAACGCTTTATATAAACAAAATGCTCAGACTATCTATAAAGCAATGCTATGCATACACTATATATCAATTAGTGTGTTTTCTCCTGGCATGGCTCAGGTTTATTTTGTCCATAAAGAAACAGAGATGTCATCAGAAATGCGGTTCTGATCCGTTTAGAATTTGTGTCAAAAATTGTAAGGGTGTCGCAATGTATGACCAGCAATGGGTTACAGTTATTTACCAACAAAATATTTATTGCAATGAAAATAAGTCAAAAAGATTTATATAGAAATAGGAACGGATAATAGTCTGGTTCACGTCTTTTTATTAATCGGCGCCTAAAGCAACTACACAAAAGATGTTATGAAATGAGCGATGACGTGTTCTGGAAAGCCCATTGACCATCTTTTAATTGTATGTCCTTTTTCAATGACTTGTTATTTTCAAATATTTTGTAAGAATTTGCTTTACGTAATTACATTAATGGTGACATTATTTCATATACGATTTGTTGAACCATATATCATTCACAGTAAAAGTCTACATTATTATTAATCATCTCTCGTACGATATGAAATCGCTGATCTAGTTTGACTTTTTTCAGAATGAATGTTAGATTCAAGACTTGAAGACAAAAGACAACTGTTACGTTTACGGTACTGATGACAATAAATTACACATTCATTTAAACTGTGTTTATCTTGTTAAAGATGGGTGGACATGTACTTCCTTAATTCGGAAAAAATGCATCGGAAGGTCTTAAATTACAGAAGATATTTCAAAATTAACTATTTGATGCAGACGGAAATCTTACTGTTTAAAAGTATGTGTTAACTCAACTGCAATTGTAGAACACAATTCGAATAGAATAATACAGAAAAAAATGCTTATACTACAGAAATACAGTCCCAATAGTGTAAAATACTCAAACATTAATTAAAATAATAAAAGAGACAAATAAAAGTTAAACATTCCTAACATACATTTGATAAGAATATGGTTGTAAAATTTCTTGGAACCGAAAACTCTCCGTTTACTTAACATTTGCAAAACGTTCGTTAGTTACGTAAACCGGAGACTCCGGAACATGGTATTTATAGAAATATAATTGTTATTTATTGTCAGCGGTAAGTTTCATTCTAAATCATACATAATAACTGTTTTGAATCTATTTATACATATAATGAATAATTATTGAATACAAGCACTCAATGCATATTCATATTTGAGGAAAATTACCGAATGATGGGAAGAATAGTTTTGTTTTACATCTGGAGAATCTAGTGTATGTAACTAGGATACATCTCATGTCACACATTTAAACCTAAGTTTGTCAAAAGCTTATGCTTAAACAAAAGTGACACCTTATACTTTAACATCTGGTCAAGAACCAAGCAAATGACAATATTTCAAACTAAGGTTTTAATTAAAATTTGCTGAATAATGTTATTTTTGTCCATTTTAATACGTTTGTACTAGTATTTCTAAAAGGTTAACGATATGATGAAAATGCAAAGAAAAGAGTTATTTCTTTTTTATTATTATTACCTTTTTTTCAAATTTAATGATGTATATATTCATACTACTATTTTCTTTCAATCATACAAACATCAGTAACGTAAAACAGAACAAAATTTAGACAATAAAGTTGTCGATACATACTTGCCGTCTGAATGGTATCCACAGGAATTGTTGCCAATGCCCGGTAGAAGAATATCAGGATAGTTATCTGGTACTACACCAATAGCTTAAATATAAATATATACTACTCATTCTATTTTTGTTTCAGCCTATATGTACGTGACGGATATAAAACAGCAAACGTGTTCAACTTAAATTGAAAGTGGTAATAAAGACTAATCTAACTTTTTCATTTATGGTACTAAATTTCTATTTAATAAGAACAAGTCATGAACAAAAATTTAAATTAAACAAAAAGGTGCTAGACATAGCATTGTAAGAAAGAAAAACACGTTATATAAAATATGTTACAGTAATGTTAATATTGTTTGAACGCCCTATACATCAATAGTATAGATGCCGTTTTATTAAAATCATAATGATGCAATCATTGATTGGTACCAGCAATACTGCAATTACTAATCAAGTATATCATTTTTACCTAACGACCCGCTTTTACCCATGCTTGATATCTCAATTTCAAAGAATGATCCCGGACGCACATTCTCCTTGAACACATGCAATCCAATATCATTACTTTCGTATGCGGCATAACTGTAAAAATTTAAATGTGAAAACATATTATTATACTGCATACATTTGTTACAAATCATTAGGAAGGAACTGTAACAGTTAATAATTCTGAATGCATTTGAACTGTTAGTGACTTTTGTATGTTTAACCATGTTTTTTCGCTGGTATATCAAATATCGTTACTTTTTAGTATTTTTTATTTGATGAAAATTGTACATTTTAAGTTCTGAGTATTATCTTGTAATAATAATTATTCACGATGATTTTACTTAATTTGTAATGGAAACCTGATAATAGTATTTTCGTAGCAATACCGTGTGTTTTCTTATTCATATACATGTTTAATAAGATAAGAATAGATATAAAACTTAAAACTCGAAATTGTTATCTTCCTTTCTAGAGCTTATATAATAAGCAAACGTATATAATATACATTTTCATATCACCTTTAAACATACGTTTGTACAATCATGTGAAATTTCTAAATCACAACATTAATAAATGTGTCAGATTTAAATATCTTTTGATGTCAAATGAAAGCCTTTAAGCGTTATTTGTATTTGCATTAGAGCACCTTGAAAGATATATAAGATTTAAGAAAAAAGTCATCATCTACAATTAAGTTGTTTACCTACCTGACACATTCGCCATCTATGTTGAGATTTTTGCAAACAAGTTTTCTGTCAAGTAATGGCTGCAAATGAAACACACAATTTGATGGCGTTATATGCCTAAATAACCTTTGCTCTTTGTATGATTTTTTTTTGAGGAATACATCATTTAAAGATTGTATCGACATTTCATGACGTTTTATCGCCAAAAGTTGCTAGCGTTTAAAAAACTCCAGCATTCTTCAGTTATTTACATTTAACATGGAGGTTTTTCTGCATATTTAACAAATTTTATGTCGAAATATTAGTAGAGATCTGGTTAAAGAATATATATAAGACTTTTCATAAGCATTATACATTTTTCTTCTAAAAATATGTTAATTATTGGTCAAATAATCTCTTTAGTTCATTACAAATACCTTTGGTGTTTCAGTTAAAGTTGATGCCGAGTCTTTAGGTGTATGTATAACAAAACACATAATAAAAAATCTACATACTTTATTAAAGTGTAAATTTGCCTGCAATAGAGAAAACAAGAATCCCTTAAGAAAGCCCAAGCCACAAAATTGAAAATGTGCCAGGCTCGGTTTGATTAAGCCTGTTTATAAACGATACTGTCAAGTGTAAGCTACCAGCCAAGCCCCTAGCACCTTAATTAAATCACAATAAAATCGATCATTTAACGAATCAGATTGTTTCGTATTTGTACTGATGATTATATGTAAAATATTTAGTTCAGCACCCATGTGATACGGTGTATTATTATTAAACATGATTGTAATTTCAATAAATGTTGTATGAGTTTCCACTGTAAACGTATATTGGATACTTTGAATTGCACCTATATATAATTTATTTGAACATGAATTAAATTATAATTATGTTGTTCAACTAAATTTAACAAATTAATTTATACATGGATTAATCAAATGAATACAAGGAAATTTTAATCATAATGAATTATTGATTCTTTGATTTATTCATTCGTTAATCAATAAATGTAGGATATTACTTTTATCGTGTATAAATATTGAATAAATAGTTCCATCTGCTAACGAATAGGCATCTTATATATACATTTCTGGAGATTTTTAAAGTGGTACATACGGTAAAATATGATTAAATTTAGTTTTAAAAAAAGAAAAACAAACAAAAAACAAAACAAATGTTATAACAAACAAAATAACAATACAAAATATAAGGTATATCAAATGCACATTATGTCTCAGAAATCCAAATTCATATATATCTTTGGAGATGTCAAATGTGTGTTAAATACATGTTATATTAAAATAAGTGATTTAGAGCATGTAAGATGCTTTTACAACAGAAAAAAGATGCGCTGAATATGTAGTTATGTGTCCTTTAAGTAGCTAATAAAATATTTTGCTTAATTAAACATTAAAATTTGATCCAAAATTTACTAGTATGATCATATCCGTTGCCAACAGAGCAAAGAAAGTAAAAGATGGTCAAATTATGTGGCAAAGGTCTTTTTTTCGTTGAACTGTAATAAGATACCAAAATCATAAACTGTTGATCTACAACAATGATGTCATTTCTAATAACTTACTGCAATATAACATGTAAAGCTTGGTCATGATAATAGAATGAAACAAAATATTCAACTGACAAGGATAGTCGGGATCTAAAAGACCCTAGCATATCTATAACAATTATGCCAATTTATACCTAGCATGCCATTTTTCAAATATATGTCATTAAGTTCTGTAGCATTTATTAAACCAAATAGTTTTACAATTATATGCCAAAACATAAGGAGTAAATAATTTTAAATAATTTGTTGAACAAAATATTCTAAATTTTATATTTTCTATTTGTTACCTTGGAGACACAAAAATCATAACCAATCAAAATTACATATTTAAATGGTCACTTTATTATAAACTAGTCAAAACACTATTAAAATCATTACATTATTGGGCTGAAACAGTCCAAAAATATCCAAATTTTCGAAGAGGCGGTTTATTTTAGGTTCTAACTTATATGTGACAGCATATGTGATAACTTACAGCATATGTGAGCTGAGGTTTAGTTTCACTTTATCTGAATGCTGCATTTTGCCATCTATGGACATTGTTTTAAGAAACTTACTAAACGTACATGCATACTAATCAATAATGACTCTTTTAATCGACCAAAATTATCAATGTTTGCAGGATTTTAAATTTGTTCAGTAATTCAAATGTGACCATATCAACTGCCCTTATGTTCGTTGACTTGTTGGTAGGAGAACTAACAAAACGTTTTATAAATGACGCCGCAATCGTCAACAACATATTTCAAACACAGTCGCAAAAAATATTATTATTGCATGTATTTATCACAAAATTAAAGGGTGGCATCAGTTGTTGTTTGATTACCGTAAAAAGATGTGATTATACTGGAATCACAACTAATAGTTTTAGATCTCACGTTATTTCATCCAGCACATTTTCTGCCTTTTACATTAAGATATTAAATAACTCACTTGACGCTTTTGGTGCGCTATGGCCTCCATCGTATGTTCTCTTGTAAAGGTATCTGTCACTTCCGTCTCTATTACAATGAGACGTCCAAAGATTAGATTAAGAATACTCTTGACATTAAAAAACAGTATTATGATGTTAGAAATATTATTGATTATATATAAGAAAACACCACTGTAAGTAATGTAAATTCAAAATACTTGATATGAAATCTCATAATATAGTATCACCCGTGCGTTTTGACATGACTATTAAGCAAACTGAATAATTAAGCATAGACATGATCACTTTATTATAGTTCGTTTGTGAAGTGATTATTTAAACATGCCTACCGATCAAATGTATCAAAACTGTTCACTAAACATTGTTGGAAAATATAACTTACCAATTTGTTTGTTTCTGCTTTCACTTTGTGCTTGCTACATAATAAATAAAGACAATTTTTAAATTGATAATTGTCCTCATTTATCATCGTATTAGAATGATTTCTTTGAATGATCTTGATACAAAAGGAATGTATGAGACAATTGTATTTAACGTATGTTTTTTTCAGGCAATTTTTAATATATTTCATGAACAACAGAATAAAATTTAATGCATACTTATTTTACCAAGATCATGAGTTCATCTTAGTAAATATTCTAAGATTTTAAGAAAAAAAGTAATTATCAAGTTAAATGAAATAAAGCAATTATTCTGTGATTTTCGTATTAATGTTAATATCGCTTACATACATGTCAGGTTGCCTTGTATAACTAAAAATAGGTTATTGTATCGGCTTATGCATCTTAGGAGTTGGTACAGAAATATTGAAAATGTACTACTGTTTAAAGTATATCACATTTATTGCAAAATATGTACGTGTATTTTCCTCAGTAGATAACATATAAACATGGAATTAATCAGACTACAACCTTACTGTTAAGAACATGATATCCCATAATATGGACAGACCGGTATTTCAATTTTAAGCTGTAGTGTGACTTACGTGTCCAATGAAGCATATTTAATTATTTAATTTTAGTTTGTTTTGTGGGCATGAAACTGACGCTAAAACGTCAATGAGTTTTTTTATATATATATATATATTTCTGTGCATGAAAGGTCTTGTTCCTATAATAACACTATATCATTATACATTTTGCTGCTGTATGTTCCCTATTTGTTCTTGTGTTCTGAAAGTTAAACATTACTTGAAATTCTCAAAGGTAGCGTACACCTTAAATAAGTTTTTAATAAATCGACTTACCTGAGGTAAAGGATCTTGAACTCGTCCTTTATCAGCTGAATAAGCTTGTTTAAATTCGTGTTGATCATGTTCACCTGAAATATATAATTATTACACCGAAATAATCTCATAAATAAAATATAATTTCTAAATAATTGAAAATAGATAAGCAACGAGTAGCTTTAAACTTATCTACAAAAACGAGGCAATTGTTCATGTTCAAATGAATAAAATCGTTACTGGTACCAGATAAAATTTAATCGATTTCTAAAGTATGTCTAAGTGGTGATCATTCGAAACAGTAACACGCATTTGGTTTTTTACGTATGTTTTTTATTAATAATATATGCATCATAAAAAGAAAATTATTGGTAAACAAAAAACTTACTCCGTTCAAACGGCTGTTCAATGAGCATCCCAATCACCTTTCTTTCTGTTACAGATTCAGCTAGAATTTTGTCTTGCATGAATCTATACTGAGTCACATGGTTTTTGTTCCTTAAACTATCAAAATTTTGCTGGGTCTTTTTCAGTCCTCGTTTAATTAATAGGGATGGTACAAAGAGGTTATTTGGTGTGTCAATTTTTGACTCCAGTTCATTGTTTTGTCGTGTTAATTCAGCTATCAAATTGTCGATATCCTTCTGCAGATCTTCCATTTTCCCCTTGTCGTTCAACATAATGTCCTTTGCCTGATTCAAAACCTTCTTTTTCATTTTATTTATACGTTCAATTACATGATCTGTGAATGCCTCCACATCGCTAACAAATTGCTCATAGAACCCCGTAAGCTGTTTTCGGTTGCTCTCTATCATTGATAGACTGTATTTAGCCTCTTTCATGCATTTATTCATCTCCTTTCTAAGATTTCTAAATTCTCGACTGTTATCATATGCAGCAGCTTTGTCACGAATGAGATCCAGCTTGCATCCATTATGGTATACAATGATGCATACTGCACAGCCAACTTGGTCGTGCTTTGGACAATAGAATTTCACAAATTCTCCATTGTGCTCTTGGCATGTTTCATTCGTATCGTCAACCGTTACCTTTATTGCTTTCGATTCATCTACTTTTACTAAGGAATGATTTCTATTATTTTTACGTTCTTTGTGTTTCACAAAACATGAATTGCAAATGTTAACTTCACATTCTACGCAAAATCCATCGGCATAAGTTGTTATATCATAATCTTCACAGAAACTACACAGTTTGGCATTTGTGTCTTTCGTCACTCTTTTACCAGAAACTTCCATAATTTTGTAACAACACCGTACCTGTAAGTCATAAAATATAAAGTAGCATTCATAAATAGTACATCTTAAAAAAAACTTGACATATAGTGTATCCTTTTTCTATCAATTGTTATCTGTATATACAAACATATCTTTTTGATAACATATCACTTATATTTCATGTTTATTGTTAACAATCTTTGATACTGTCATAAAAGTAGTTCAAAATTAATTAATGACAATGCTGTCAATGCTTTATTAATGGAACAGACTTGAGGAAAATTTCTTTTGTAAGCCACTGATACTGTAAGTTTATTATTAAATGCTCACATGAAGAAATCTTAATTAACTAATTTACTGACTAGTGTGCCATTGCATCTATTCGATGCAATATTCAACGGAATTTGACATATTGACCGTTGCTCACTTGTCAGCATTGTTTCATGATATGAAAAGGCTAAGTTAAAAAAAAGAACACAAAAAGTGAAGCGTTTTAAAGAAAAGCAAACGCAGAATTATCATGTTTTCATTGTAGTGCGGATAAAAGACGCACGTAAACAATACGACGTCAGACGTACAACAATCTCCCGAAAGCTGTGCAAACCAACACAATTGATTTTATACTCATCCTTGCTGTGTTACTATAATTATAATAATTTATTCAAGATATGTTCCATAAAAACAACATTAATGTTATTCGTGTATGTGCACGCTCAATTTCCGCTGTATAATGATTACATACGAGTCTCTTTCTAATTTAAGGTTAAATTTTAAAAATTCCAATTCAGCTAGTGATTATGATATTACACCCAGTGAATATTATTTTATAAAATGTTATGATCACTACTGCTTTGGACCAATAAGATTGCAGATATATTTAGATAATAATATTATCAAATATATTCTACACAACCATTTAAAACGGCCAGTCATCGTAAAGATGAATGAAACCACCCTAAATTAATATACAGTACACGATATCCGATATTTATCTTATTGGAAAATAAACAATATTGATCATTATTGTAATACGTACTTATTAATTGATTCTCCTACTCAAACCATCATTGTATCTGTATTTGGCATAACATCAATATATGTTTATGAAATATTTATTTATTGATATTTATGAAAAATTACTTTCTGTTTTCTTATATATGTTTTTTGTCTTGTAAAAATGATATGTGTTCAGTCTGAATACAAAACTCTCGTATTTTAACGTCAACTTATGATGATTGAAATCTACATAATGACAGTAATGCAGAAGGACAAATATTGTTAAACCATAGGTCTTTGGAGGTGTAAGTGTCGTTAAATACTCAATTAACTGAACGGAAAAATAGTATCGTATGTTTTGTTTCTTTTTGCATTTTGAAATCGGATATATCCGTTAACCATTCATTTTTAAAAGCAAAAACCAATAATTATATTTGTATACAAAATGGCTGACGAAAATAATTATTATAAGGAAAGTTATCTTCACAGTTGACAATTTTTTATGAATGTATGCAGAATAATAAGGTTTACATATAGTAGTTATTCTATGAAGTTTAGGCTATTTCTCAAAAAAAAAAAAAACTTCTGCGTTGGTTTACCATTTCATATTAACATAAAAAATATATCTTTAAGAACACATATTTAACAATTCATTCACAAAAAAGCTGTGTGTATAGATATTTGATATAACTGCAACATCAAATTGTGTTTTCTGTCACATTTCATTCAAAACTCGTTAAAACTCAAAGTGATCTTTTCTCATCTGAACCAACAATTTAAGCTCTTTTTATAGATTAAGGTAGCATATTGTACTAATTTCAAAACAATGAAAAGCATACTTTGCAAAGCACTTGATGACGGTCTCGAAGCTCGAGTTATATTCTTCGACAAAAGCAAGGCATTCGATAAAGTCTGGCACAAAGGCATTCTCTGTAAATTAAAATATTATGGTGTATCTGGAAACATATTTAAATGGTTTCAGGATTATTTAAGCTCCAGACGTCAGTGTGTTGTTCTAAGAAATGCCAAATCTTCTTGGGGTGTTCTCTCAGCTGGTGTTCCACAAGGTTCGATCCTTGGTCCTTTACTTTTTCTCATCTACATAAATGACATAGTCCAAGATCTTCAATCCAATGTTAATCTTTTTGCTGATGATACCAGTCTCTATATTGTTATTGAAAACCCACAAACTGCAGCACAACAATTACAATCAGATATTGAAATAATAGCTGCATGGGCAGAAAAATGGCTTGTCACTTTCAACCCGTCTAAATCAGAATCCCTTATTGTCTCTAGAAAAAGAAATTCATATCACCAACCACTTCAAATGCTTAATCAAACTATACCTGAAGTAAAAGATCATAAACACTTAGGATTATTTTTGTCTCACAATTGCCTGTGGCATTCACATATAGAATATATTAATGAAAAAGCATGGAAACGGGTGAACATAATGAGAAAACTGAAATTCATGCTAGATCGTAAATCTCTTGAAATTATTTATATATCGTTTATCCGACCAATCCTTGAATATGCGGATGTGGTATGGGGAAACGCATTTCAGTATGAACTTGACCTCTTAGATAAAATACAATATGAATGTGCTAGAATAGTGTCTGGTGCAACAAGACTAGTTTCAATTGAAAACTTAAATAATGAAGTAAATTGGGAAACATTAGAACAAAGACGTTATAAACATAGATTAACATTATTCTATAAAATCAAACATGGCATTGCACCAGAATACTTGTCAGAACCAATACCGTATCAAACAAACACTCGTTATAACCTTAGAAATTCAAACGACACTATTGGTATTTCAGCAAGGACATCTTTATACTTTAGTTCTTTTTTCCCATCTTCAATTCGTGAATGGAACAACTTGCCCCTTAACATAAGGAATCTACCAACCCTTTCAATGTTTAAAATTTATCTATTACGTGATAAGAAAACTACACCAAAATACTTTTATTTTGGTGATAGAAAACTTCAAATTCTTCACACCAGGTTACGCACAAAATGTAGCTCCCTTAATTATCATTTGTTTCTAAAAAATATATCACCATCACCATTATGTGAGTGTGGTCAAATGGAAACTAACTATCATTACTTCTTTGAATGTAATCGCTTTCGTACATGTAGAGAAAAATTATTGGGAAATCTAAATAATTTCGATATTACCCTCAACACCCTACTTTTTGGCAACCCGGACATCTCAGATACTGATAATGCCAATATCTTTAAACATGTTCATACTTTTATCTCAGAATCAAAGCGATTTCTCTGACTTAAAGTGAAACAGTGAAGCAATCTTTCTTTTCTCTTTCTTTCTTTTTTCTTCCTATTTGATTATTTGTTTTCCTTTCTTCTTTTTTCGTTATTATAATTTCTAATTCTTATCCCGATGATTACTTATAAATATAACGTTTACTTCGTCACAAATATTTACATTCCACTTTTTTGATAATTGTACAAAATATTAGAAAATCGACTCATTATAAAGTTACACTAAACGGAGAAGAATTTTATAAGACTTAGTCTTTCATTCTCATCCTTTTCTTTGAATATATTATATATTTGTATTCTGATTGTATTGTATTATGTATATCATGTAAATATTCGGGAAATAAATATGTTTAAACTAAAACAATGAAACTATTTTTAAATAAGTATAAATGATAAAGTTAAATAAGGAGAATTATGTGTTTTATATATTATCTCACGCTTGAAACTTCTAATAGTTGTTTGTATGTGTCACAACAAAAACTATGTTATGTAACTAGATTGTAATATGATAACTTGCGTTCTCTTTTGATTATCTATAATTTGCACGATGTTTACATACATACGGTTTAAAATAAATTCTGTCAATTGAACAGTTTATATATGTTTTGGTTTTCTCTGCAATCAAGTATTTGCGTAAATGAAATTCCTTCAAATTAATTAAGTGTCTCAAAGACTGATGCTCACATACGGTGGTTAAGTATCAATGGTAAACAGCGACCAGGTGTATTATATATACGGTATTATATTGATCCAAAGGTGCGTGGGTGAAACTGTTTTTCTCATAAACCTTACTGGTTGATAATCTATCTTATATTCACGGCTATACTGTTTATATCTATGCATCTATGAGGTAATTTAAAACAAATATGTAAAAACTTAGAAGTATAGATTGTTAAACTGTATTGAACAGAAACAAAATAGCATATGTAAATTAATAACTTATTCTATTAGATGTATTATTATACATGATCAAATGTATGCCATTCAAAAATGTGTAACAGGTATTACAACAGCAAAATTTACTTCAATACTTACTCAGTATATAAACAATATCATATTGAATGCAGGACAAGTCGTTGCAGAGCTTAAGAAAAAATGAGGCAAACAACACTTATTATGATAAAAATATATTTTCTTACCTGTCGCTTTATAAGTTCTAAATAATTTTACCTGTTTAAACAACGACTTTTCTACGTTAACAAATATACACCCACTAAATACGCTGAATAAAATACTAATATATCTTAAACCTTTAGAGCGAATGTTTATAAAAATCGATTTTAAACTTGAAGTTGGCTAAAGTTTCTTTTTTAAACGGCACACACATTCTATTTAAATAAATATTTGAAACCACCTGTATTTTATGACGATTTTATTATGCTAAATTGATGATTTTGTGTTATGAAAAAACTGATAAACTAACACATTATGTCAATCGTATTACTTAATACTGTTCAATCATTGGTGAATTGGTTTCATAATATATGTAGGTGTATGTGACCAACAAAGTTTTAAATGTAAAATATGGCATTTATTCAAAATATGTACAGATTATTATACCTGTTATTAAACGTCCTGGTTGATTAACCATAATATATATTCACGTTTAAAATTGATATTAATTTGAAACCTCGTTCACTACTTTTATCAATATTTAAATTTATTAAAAGACAGATGCAAATGGAAAATATTAGTTACCAATAAAATAAATGAAGTTCAGTTTCTAATCAGAACAGCGTGAATGCAATATATTATTGATTCTCAAATTTAATTCAAAGTGACAATCTGCGAAATACTGAAGATAAATAACACTTATTTATATGCATGGATAAAAAGTTTTACCTGTCACTTTCAAATAAATGTATACAACGAATAAAACAGAGCTAACACATATACATCAACTATACAATCTGAATGGAGACAATAAATGCCTCTTTGTAACTTTTAATCAGTTACACCGATTTAAAACGTTGGTACACATTTCAACTTTATACGGTTCACACAATTTTTTTTAATTAAAGATTGAACATGCGTATATGGAAAAACATTTTTTTCTTCCGGATTTATTGACTTAATTGTAAGATATTGCCGTGAAATATATTCTTACACAAATAACTTTGTTATGCTATGAAACATATCTGATTAACTAGAAAAAAAAAGAACAACAACAACAAATGATTCAATGCTCTTCCCTTATGGATTTAAAATCACGAGTAAAAATGCAAATAAATTGTGTGACAGTTAAAAACTAGTTCCGATAACCATACTTGGGCGTATGTTCTTTACTAGGCATTCAGAGAAAATCCTTAAAACATAGAGCTTGATATAAGCTGTTTCATTTATACTAAAAAAAGAGCAAAGTTAACATGTTTAACATTATCCCCAAGTGATGACTTAAAGTGCTTTTGATTTATATATTTTAATGAATGCATGCATATACCTGTTCCTGTTTTTTTAACTTTTGATTTAATAGATAAGAATAAAATATTAAAGATCATCTGCGATCTCTAGTATGTTTTGTCGTGGACATACATTATATAAGCACAATTGTATGATTATATTTGATACATTAAAACAAGTTTTCTAAATCCGAATAAAGTGCTAACCGTTTTTAAAACAATAATTTGGTTGCGCCCTACTAAATAATATTTTTTCTTTCAAAATTGTTAGATTTTGATAACCATTTCTGTTCATTTGTTTGGTAAGGTCAGATAACTTGATTTAAAAGACACATATTTAATCAACAGCGTTACATCTCTTTTAATTTTGAGCATATTTATCATTTATTTCTTAAATAATAATATCAACTGCAGATAATAATGTGATTGTATTGTAAATTTTTAAAGATATCTCATGATTGACATGTCTATATTTTGCCATTTAAAATACCTATAGTAGCATCGCAAGGCATATGCTACTTAACATATTTCGCACTAGGAATAAAGATCAGAGCTGTCAATAAAGTAGTGTCGCAGGATTATGTTTTCCCACTGAGAAAGAGAACATAATACACCTTAATAACTAATTTCATATAAAGCACACTTGTTAATTAAATGCAGATATACCTGGAGCTATTACAATATGATATGACTAAAATTCTTCGTGGTCGAAGACAGTTGTTTTAAATATTCTGGGTATATAGACCATGATTGTGATATGCATGCATCGAAACAATTTAAATCAATATAATGCATATAGATTACAAAAAAGGGAAAAACAAATGGATACATAAACAAATAAATAATGAAAGAGCAACTACATGTTATTAGTGTAAAATACATGTTCATTTAACATACCGTGTTTTATCTCTAATATCAATACATATTATATTTTTTTTAAATCTTCAAAAAAACAAAAAAACAAAAAACAAAAAAAACAACAACAAAAAACTGAAGATAATTGATTATCAAAACGCGTGTGCTATTAATATCTTTTTAGCTACATCAAACTGTTATTATTATTGTTAGCATTTTGATTTTGTTAATATAATTTATTTTTGGCTATTTCTTTACATTGCATATATATGCATATTGAACAAAATCTTTAATCCAACAACTACAGTTGTATAAATCTTAAATATATGATACATCTAAATTATCATACATCTTACAATGTCTGTATACAATTCCTTATTCAAAACACAGAATGATCGCGGTGAACTACCTCTTATTTATTTAACGCATGCCATTCAAACCATTTCAAACATATCGGTAAAGTATTATTTTAAATCGACATTTACGGTGAATGTATATTTAAGAACTTAAAACCAATACCAAATTTATTGTTTTTTCCACATGTTTACTTATATTAAGCATATTGTTAAACCATTATGTCACTTAACAGACTGTCTTTGTTTTTGTTTTGTTTTTTCCGGTTGTATTTCACAACATGTAGTTTAATTTTATACTTGATATGACATAATTTTTATCTTATCAAGGAACATTGTCTCAGAAGCAAATAAAATTAAGTTCTTGTAAAAGTGCAAATATGAACCTTATAATGTTTTAAAGATGATGTTGATGTTAGAGATTGTTAGATGCTTGTTACTTTAAAAAGGAGCGATGAATCTTAATGTATCTGAAATTAAAGTATCAAAATGTAATCAATGTTGTATTTTGACTTTCATACAAAATACTTCTTTACTAGAACTATACTTAAGGCATAATTGACCTTTACATGTCTCATTTCAGAGATGATGTCATTATTTGCATATACATATTAAAGACTCATGATATTGTCTTTTTTAACAAACGTTTGTGGAACATTCATGTGGGGACTGAGGACGTGCATAATGGATTTCATATTTTTCCCGTCTGTTGTAATGCTTTTCAAATAGATCATCCCATAACTTAATTTTGCGTTTCTACTGTGCTAAGTTTTAGTTCAGCTACAATAAAAGTCGAAGTTATATACCTTCTCATTTGTTTAATTCTAATCATTACCATTATTGGTGTTGTTATTGTTTTTGTTGTTTCTGTTGTTGTTATTAACGTACTAAATAGCATTATGATCAGAAGACTCATTTCAATTGGTAGAGTTGTCGTATTGTAACTTTCTATAAGTCATACTATTATATTAGTTTTGGGCTATTTGAAACGAGTCATCTTAAATTAAAACAAATACGTAATGGTTGCTGCGTTCATGATAATATTTTCTCTTTTTATCAATCTGCATTTTTCCAAATGAATATTAAACAAATTTAACGTTTAATTATTGAAACAAAGAGTTATATGATCTTAATGCAATGTGTAGTTTAATACATAATAATATATATCATACTCAGTTATTGTTACATATGTATTTTGCAATATCCTTTATTTAATCAAAAAAATGGAATACAATATGTTATAGTCTGTAATATATCTTTTTGCCTCCAGAAGAAATAATAATATCATGAATGTGTCGGTCTTTTAACTAAGTTATTAACTTTTACGTCTTTACTAGGACATTTTCTAATCACTTTTTAATCATATGGCTTCTAAGTCTGTATTCACTGGTATATTAATATTGTTATAGCTTGTTTCAAAGAACCTATTACAAAAAAAAATATTTTAGATATAATTATTTCATAATATCAGCCGCTCTAATAAGTACTGATTACTATTCGATCTTAATACAAAACGCCTCGTGTTTCAACGTGTCAATAATAAATGAAATCTACATAATGACAAAAAAATGTAAATGACAAATATAACGTTACTCAGAGAGGAAAAATATCGACCATTAAAATATAATTTAAATATCAAATATTTGAACACAAACCATCGTTACAGACTCGGTCTTAATCGTTATATTTGCTTTGCATTTTACAGAATATTTAATACACATCAAATATATATGTAACACAATGGTTTAAAACCAGTACATGTTTTAAATTGATATCTGATATATCTTCAACATGACTTGTTTTATATGTCAGAAAGTCAGTTCACTTGCCTTTTGCAAACACGAACTGATCAATATGAAAGGGACTGTTAGGGTAAAACAAATACATTAAAAAGATTGTCTCAAACTCTTTTATGTGAACACACCTTTGTGTAATAAACTATTGTTATATCAATGAAAAAACGACCTGGTGTGTTATTATAATGCACGGCATTGAATCAAATAGTACGGTTAATACAACTTTTCAAAAACTTTTTTACACTTTTTTATATTCACAGTTACAATGTGCACATATTTATCCGGCAACTATTAGCTGATTTTAAAACAAACATTTTTTGAATTTGGACGTTAAAATCAATATACAATTTTATTTGAATTGACAGAAATACAAAAATAATAATTTCTTCACTGATTCTTTACAAAAAACAAAGATATTGAAGCTGTCTGTTGATTGAAACAGATTTGTTATTCGTTACAACGACATTTACTTCAGCATTTCTTCCTTTAAGTTAAAGAAAAAAAACGAACGTACTATATTGCAACCAAGCGTACTATGCACGTAATATCGATGCAGGAATTAATCAAAACATAAGTGCAATGATAATCATAGTAAAAGTTCTTACCTGTCGCTTTATAAGTTAATGATACAACAATAAATACACATCCACCAAGCACGCTAAATACAGAACATTAATATATATTCAGCCGTTAAAGCATATGTTACTCATATGTTAAGTCGATTTTTAACTTCTTTATTATTTGAACCGGTACACACATTTTAGTTCAACAATTAAAGCTTTGAAGATATTATGTTTACGTCTTGGTTAATTGGCTCTTTTGTAAAGTAGAATCGTGGCGTATTTCTTTAAATTAGCTCTTAATACATCAGATTAATCAAACCAAACATTCTTTTAAAATCATACTTGTCGCTTAATTGTTAACAAAGCGGAATATAATGGGTTCACTATTTTGTAAAACAATCATGTTTGACTTCCCACTTTCTTGTTACAGACAAATAAGTAATTAAAGTGAAATAGGATATTGTTTAAGTGTTAATCGTTAACAAAAATCACACCTTATCTGAAATTTGAATATACCATTGTTTACAATATTTGGATATTATATTGTACAATATATTAAAGGTTATGCTACATTTCAACTGTTCGTACGTAATTACAAATGGAAAAGAACATTAACAATATAAAGACACGACTTGTTTTAAATGTAAAAGTCGTTTCTTTATACTTTTAATAGTCTTATAATATAACTGTTTACGAAATGAATCCGCAATGTAAAGTTCCGAAAGAGGATTTTCAAAATTCTGACGTTGTGTCTGAGCTGATAATATAAGCAGAGTTAAACAAGTGTAAGTTTTAGGTTTTAAATTATCACTAAATGAATAATTAATTATAATTTCTATTCATTACATGCTTTTCGGTGGTTTATATGATATATGTGTGAAAAAACAACTGATATTTCACTGTTTGTAACAGTGAATTGATATTTTTCACTGTTTTGAATTTAAGCCTGTTAAGTTATTTCAGTTTAATATAAGGGTGCACGGAACTGGAAACCAACTTAATGACGTGACGTCGTAAATGATGTCACGTTGTAATTTTATTTGGCGCAATTTTCATTACGTATTAAGTTAATATGTCCCTTTAGACGTTTCTTTGCATATAAAAAGAAAATTAGATTTGATTTGTTTAGTTTAAAGTCGACATGTATTTCACTCGTGAACACCAACAACTCATATTTTACTCGTGTCTGCGCCACTTGTGAAATATACCTTTAGGTGCTCACGCGGTGGAATAGGTTCCTATCTTACACTGAACTAAATTAATGTTCTCTATCTGTTCACTGTAAGTTTGCATTCATAAATGTTAATATGTCTCTGTAATATTAGATTAATTTAATAAAATAAATGTCATTTGTCAATGATAAGTTTCTGATCCTTTAGATCCACCTTTAAAAAGGTTGTAAAAATAATATATTCAATAAAATGACAAATTATTAATTATTAATCTCATAGAATAATTATACACTTATTCTTAGTTGCCAAATATCTGTGTCAAATATTTTATACTTGAGACCCAACTTACATGATATTGTTTAAAAATATAGAATGAAATGATCGATAATTACCAACGCGAAATCCGTACACAGCCCAGTAAGGTATAAATGTAACAGTATAGTTGCTATCTGTTATGCATTTGCAACCCCGATAGGGATATAATTTTTAAGACACATTCATATCAGAACACTCCTCGTATTCCAATGTAAAATATTTTGATTTTTAAGAAGAAGTACATTATTGTGACTTACAATACATTATTGTGACTTACAATAAAGTATTAAATTATCGACAATTTACGCTTTATGTATTTTAAACAGTTTAATTACTTACAGTATGCATGTATAAAATGCAGCATACAAATTCATATATTATTCAAATCAATATATCTATTTATCAAACTTTTATAATAATTAAAGGCCCATTATGCCCGCAAATACTTTAATCTTTATTTTTAAAAAAAAGCTTTTTAATGTTTGTGTTCATTAGATTATCTAACACGTTTGTCAGTTACATGAACCATCATTTTCATATATTGCCTTGTTGGTGATAAGTACATATGTGGTGAACCAGCATCATGTTGTTACATGATTAACTATATCATGTATTGTTTCTTCAAGTAACAAACATCATACACTCTCTTAACCTATGATTAACATTATAAAATCCACCTTTGCCCTTTCTGAAGAAGTAAACATTAATTTGCTTCGTTGTTGTTTAAATTTGTCTTAATTACATACAAATATCATTCAAGTAAGGTAACTACTTAATTGCATCTGATTGTATTTGTATCACTATAACATGTATTACAATGTATTATATTTGCTTAAACAGGACATCTTAACCTGAAAAATTAAAACTGTTTGAGAAAGGATTACAAGACATGTAAAATCTTTAATAATCATAATCTCTACAAATCTGAATTTAAAGTCAACAAATCAAATTAGATATATCTGACAAAAATAAGTTATATTATAAGTTATATTATTATCTTTCATTTTTAATTTTTTTTTTAATTTTACTGTTATACTTTTGATTTAACGGACGCACTTGCCTAAAAAGTATTTTAACTGCTAATTACCTCCCATTTTGTATTCTACAAAAAACTAAAACATTAATATTATTATTTTTATTATTATTATTATTATCACTATTATTATTATCATAATTTTTATCAACATCTTATTATTATTATTATTATTATTATCATTATCACTATTATTATTATCATTATTTTTATCAACATCTTATTATTATTATCATTATTTTTATTATTATCATTATTATTATTATTATTATTATTATTATTATCATTATTATTATTATTATTATTATTATTATTATTATTATTATTATTATTATTATTATTATTTTAATTTTCGTCTTTTAAATTTCTATAAGTCAAAATCAAAATATTATACAAGTTTTGGGTTATTGGAACCGAGTTATCTAAAACTTGTATCTTAGTTTCGGGACCTTTCTGTTGAAAACGAGTCATGGTTAAATCGTTTACATATACATGCACAGTTCTTTAAATGCAATGCAGGTATTAGTTACCCGCACTCCAGAGCATGCCCACTTATTGGTTCATTTTTGTTGGGGATATATTGTGACGACAGAGAAAGGGAAAGCGACAGAAATGTCATATTCCGATGCTCGTTCATTGGTTACTTTTTTCTGGGGTTTCAAATTGTGACAACAGGGCACGTATTCTTATGTTTTACTATGACACAAAAGAGAAATAACATCAAACAACTCGGCAATCTGATTTATACTCGGGGCTACGCCCCCTCGTACAAATCAGATAGCCTCGTATTTCGATGCTGTTGCTATTACTAAAAAACATTATGGTAGCTGCGATGCATGAATGCTAATATTTTTTTTTTGTTTTATAAATTTGCATTTTCATCATTTGATTATTTGTAAAAAATGTCTAATTAAATGAAACAATGTGTAATGTGATCTTAACAATCTGCAGTGTCCCTATATTAAACAAATTTAATGTCTTGAAACAAAGTGTTATGTGATCTTAATGCATTGTGTAGTTAAATACTTTTGTACAATCCAACGCGCACGAGGTTATTACTTAAAAAAAGTTGGTTAACTGTTATTATTTTCACTACTAGTGTCATATATGATATTCATCCGTTGTTGCATATGTAATTGCAATCACACAAATAGTATTAATTAAATGAATGTATCACCCTTTATCTGTTCACCAACAGTGTAATAAATTATTAAGATATTACATGACTGTCTTGACTGTTAAGACTGAGAAATGTACTCAGATTTTTTCTTAATTATATGGTTTCTTATCCTATATCAATTTGTATAGTTGCAGTTTATTTATCTATTATATTTTTTGTGTGAATTTGTCCCATAATATGAATTATATAATAATAGAAATAAATACTAATTAAAAAATATTTTTGATATGTTTGTAGTGTACGTAATTTCATTTCAATACTTTAATATAAATAAGTAACTTAAAAACCAACAACAACAAAAACTTGTGTCTGCAAGTATGTGATGGTGATCTTCAAATTATAAACTTATGAATGTGTTATCATGATTCCTTGGATATAATATACGTGTCAAAATTAAACTTAAAAATTAATCAGTTATTGATTTATTCATTGAAATAATTGTAAATAACCATGTTACAACTCTTTTCAACACGTACTTTTGTTTCACCTTTTTAAAAAAATACTGAGTTCCATTCAAGTAGATATTATTGCATACATAAGCGTATATACATCAGGCAACTAAGTTGTGGAAATATTAAAATAACCTTTAAAGAGCAGTTTTTTAGTTTTTTTTATTCATTATTACTTTTAAAACAGCATAATAGTTAATAATATTGTTTCGCGAAGAGGTATATTTGTAGGTTGTTTCAAGACATTCAACAAAGATATTGTTTAGAATAACTGTCCGTCTAATAAGTATTGATAATTATTTGATCTTACAGAAGAGTTCGTATTTCAAAGTCATTTGAATTATGAATGAGGAACAAAAAAGTTACTGAATACTATAACGTTGATCTAAGAGGGTCAGTATTGATCGTTAAAGTAAAATTTAAATAGCCTTATATATGAACACAAAACAGTAGTACAATGATGGTTTCCTTCGTTATATTACCAGGTATGTAATACACTTAAAATATATATGTAATATAATGGTTATAAACCTATACATGTTGTGTATTGATATCTGATAATTTTTCAACGTGATTAACATTATCTGTCAAAAAGGCAATTCATGACTCGGTCCACTCTCAGCTCATTTTTGTTAACAGAATAACAGACGACACTTCTTACGATTATATGATAGTAACACGATATTTACATAAAACGGTTTACAAAAAATATTGCTTTTTATTTAAAGTTTGTATTTAACTCTTATTCTGTATAAAAAGTACCATGAGGGTAAATCAAATTAATTCAAAGAACAAGATTGTCTCAAACACTAATATGTCTACACTCCTTTATGTAATAAATAAAGAATATTCAAGTTTCTTCTATAAATACAGGATTTATTTTCATCGTGTGGTATGAAAATAAATATTTCACGAGTGGCAGTAGCAATACCACAAGATTAGCAATCTATGGAAACAAACATACATGTATACATTGATAGTGTATGCTAATTGAAACAGATTTGTTTATGGTTATAACAAAATATTCTTCGGCATTCCTCACTATACAATCAATCGAACGTTTTATATTGTAACTGACACTTTTATACAAGTAATATCGATGCTGAAATTAACGCAAT